GCGATTTTAGAGTGTATATTCACAACAAAAAAATGCATAGTTTGATGTCATGATCGTGTGGAATCATAGGAAGTGTAGTCTTCAAAACATGATGCTGCAAAAGTCATGTATAGGGGTGAACTGAAGTATTGAAAACTTGTAGTATAAAGTAGCACTGAAAGACATTGATGCCTAATGAAACTGCTGAAACAATTGCAGATGAGAGAAGAGCATCTTGGTTCTGTTAAAATGGCACTCTGTGCAGTCTAAATGCACAACAGCATCTAAATTATTTTAACTAAAATCAAGGACATGGTTCTCTTCACTAGTCAAACTTGCCAGATGTTAATATTTTTTAAACAGCTGGGATTATTTAAGCACAAATACTAGTGGTCAATGGATAATTCAACAAAAATATTACAAATTGTCCTTTTAACAAGCTGATTAGATAAGATGTTGACTTTTAGTAGCATATAACTGCAAGCATGCAGTCAAACTCATTGGTGGGTTTGCATCAAAGCTTCTGTGACCAAATTTGAATGTGTTAAACATTGTTCACTTTAGATTCAAGTAAAAGCCTCAATTAAGGTATTCATCCTGTAATGTAGCCACATTTCTTCAGAAGACATAAATATAAATTTGATTTCTGTTTTAAAATATTTTGGAGTAGTAAACATGTCAGGCTAAGTAATTAAAATCAATAATTGACTTTGCTGTCATCTTTTGTTTCAAAAACACAGATTTCATCACAGTTTAACATCTTTGAAGATCTTTTCAGCTAGAGATACCATTGTCATATATATATATATATATATATATATATATATATATACTGTAGGAATGGTATGGTGAACCTTTTGGCACTTCTAAAACTTTGACTTTTTCAAACTGCAGTTTACCTTAAAAACGGTTATGGTCCCATGCCTAGCGTAGATGTTGGTTTAGTTCAAATTCCCATTAACATTACTTTTTAGTATCATTGCCATCATTCTTATTATTTAATTTTTGTTTTTTGGTATATAAACATGAGCGTGATTGACTTGAGTAGTGTTTGGACTCTCAGTAATGATTTTAAACCACACTGAACTGAGCTAAACTAAACTGAACTGAACTTAAACTATAAAACCTGAACTACCCTGATCCTGTTACTATGATCATTTATGTGAAGCTGCTTTGACACAATCTACATTGTAAAAGTGCTATACAAATAAAGCTGAACTGAATTGAGTAATTACTCTTTTGCTCTCTTTCTGTGGTGTCAGAGAAAGGAGGTTCTGGTCCGTCTCGGCTCAGCGGCAGCAGCAGTTCCTCAGACTCGGGGAGCAGCAGCTCCAGTGGCTCCACTTCAGACAGCAGTGACTCCGACTGAACACCTTTTTATTTACTTTTTTATTTTTATTTTTTTTTAAAAACATTGTATGCAGTCAAGGTTGTTTCCCCTCTGAGACTTTTTATAAGAAAGAAAGAAAAGAGACAATAAAAATGCATCATGTCAGAATTTTTTTTTTCTCTTGGAAATGTCATGAAGAAAATTACAGATTAAAAAAGCAAATTAATAGATTGCTTTTTATTTCCACTGACTCTGAAAGGGATGTCCTGAAGCTGCAAAGAGAGGAAGTCAGTAATTCTCTTCCCTGGCATCCTGGTAATGTTGTACGTTACCATCGCAAAATAAAGCATCCCATCTCACCAGAGAGAGCAGAAAACTGAATGCTCACACTCTTCTCTCCTGATTCAACTTCTGCACCGCTCTGTGTTGTATTTATTGTTTTGTTTTTTTCGTTTTTGCTGTGGCCTCATGTTTTTCCCTATTGGACGCTGTGCCATTATTGACTTTTTTTTTATTAATACTTTCTTTTATTATTGTCCTCTCGTGAACTGAAACGTATGTCTATAAAAATCATGCCTTTCCTATTGTCACAAATCTTAAGTAGTCCGGGGGAACAAATGGCTTTAATTAGGCACTACACGGTCTTTAAAGGTAATTTGGCCATTATCGTACAGTAGAACTATATTAAAACCATCTTATGCGCTCTTCAACTAATAGATGTTTGATCATGGGAATCAAGTAGATTTGGGTTTTTTTTTTTGTTGAGATGCTTTGCAGTGATGTGAACATGTAAATCAAGATCACGTGCAGACTTCCTGTTTTATTAAACGTCTTGGTCAGCAATAAACGCAATTCCAAACAGACTGACATTTTTACATCAGAAATCTATTAGATGACTCTGAAAGGGTTGATGTGAATACTGACTCCTGTCATCTGCATTTTGATCTTTACTGGTATATTGTGATAAAGCAAATGACGATGCGTTTGTTGTTTATTTCCAGTGTTCTGACAATGATCGTTAAATCACAGAGTCTTCCTCTTGTCACGCTCTTGCAGAATTGAATTATGAATGTAAGGCTATTGTAGATCTCATTAATAGTACGCAGTTCCAATCAGGAGTGTTTTCCCTTCTGATGATTTCCAGCCATTCTTCATGCGGATTGCTTTATGATATCTTAGAATAACTATGCTTTTGATTATATTCTGAAGTGTTTGTAAGATATTGTAATGTCCTCTCTGAAGTTAGTTTTTAAATACTTGTAAGTATTGTAAAGGGAATTGGTATTTGCTTTATTTTCTTGAAACAGTTTGGGATGTATGGACTGGTGTTGTGAAAATAGTATACAGGATCATTCTGTAATGTTTTGGCAGCCAAAATTAATGAGGGACATGTATCTTTCAGACTAATTAAAACACTAATAGATTTAGTCAAATCATAATTATTTTAAGGTTTTAATCATGGTATTCATGATTTTGTTGTTGTCTGTCTTATTTGGGTGCAAAACTTCCCTGAATCACTTCTGAGTGTCTGATTTAAATAATGATCGACTTCTTACTGGTTAGCGATGGAATGAAACGAAATATATGACTATATAGATAAATATATTCAACTTAATTTGAATTTAGGCCCTGATTTGCAACAGAAAGGTTTTTTATATTTAAATCAAAGTTTACTTTTTATCTTTGACATGCATGCTGATTTATTGTATTTTTCTTATACATTTTTTTGAAGCTGTTTATAGTTATACTTCTGTAAATGTCAGTCATGGAAACAACAAAATCAAGAATACAGTGTGAGTAGATGTAGATGTGAGGTTGGGACAGAGGCAGTGGTAGAGGCTAACATTTGATGTAAAAGCCTGGAATGTGTACTCCAGGTAGATTTTTTTCATAAATAAACAACAAAAGACTTTATTTTGTGTTATTTTTTATTTAGCTCTTTGCAATTTTGTTATTTACAGCTATTGAAAGTGGTTTTTAATTGTCCATTTGTCAAAATTTGGTTATTTCTAACGTGATTAGATTGGAATCGATATGGATTTTTGGTAAAACTAGCCTAAACTAGTACCGCTTCTGACCGCTAGATGGAAGCGATGTCCCGTTTCTGCTCAAGGCTAGCATTGTTACATTTAACCATTTTTGTAGAGCAGTTTGTAATAATAATTAAAAGATAACGATAGTGCAAGAGTCATCTAATATTACATGTTGTATAACCATGTTATGATATTCCTGTAAGTAGATTAGGAGATTTTACCAGCAATTGTTTATTGAGGAGTTACAGGAGTGATAAGAACCCAATCGTTTATTCATTTATACATCTATATTTTGCATCTTTAAGGTTTAGAGACTTTGCGAAGGAGAGAAAATGTTACCTTGTGTTCAAAACATGGTATACCCACTAACACAATACTGCAGAGACCAAGATGGATCAATGCGTTAAGTCTTGTGACAGCTTCTCACATCTGACTCAAAAAACCATCGTTCATACTGAATGTGCTTTAACTGTTTTTTTTATTCTGGCTCCATGGAAAAATAGTCTGAATACAGCAAATTTCAATCCAGACAGCAGAACATGTTTCATTTATGTAAATGCTTTAAGAATCGAGTGATGCTGAATAAATAGTGTAAACATACTTGTCTGTACTATAAATATTGTACAGTTAAAAATCTGATAAAAACACCACAGAACATCACATGATTACGTTTACAAGGGACTCATTAAGACTTATTAAACCTCACCAAAATGTAAGCAATAATTAATAAATAATAATTCATTTAAAATAAAATTATATATACATAAGATTTTTAAGCTGTGTATGGATTCTTGTAGTTTTATCAAAAAGTCTTTAAAATTATAACCTGCGATGTATAGTAATAAATTCAAAAACATTACCAATCAAAAAACAAGATAATCAGGCTTATCTAACTTTCTAAAAGGAAATAAAGCTAAATTGTTTAATAATACTGTCGCCTCACAGCAAGAAGGTCGTTGGTTCGAACCTCGGCTCAGTTGGCGTTTCTGTGTGGAGTTTGCATGTTCTCCCTGCCTTCGCGTGGGTTTCATCCGGGTGCTCCGGTTTCCCCCACAGTCCAAAGACATGCGGTACAGGTGAATTGGGTAGGCTAAATCGTCCGTAGTGTGTTTGTGTGGATATTTCCCAGAGATGGGTTGCGGCTGGAAGGGCATCCGCTGCATAAAAACTTGTTGGATAAGTTGGCGGTTCATTCCGCTGTGGTGACCCTGGATTATTTAAAGGGACTAAGCCGAAAAAGAAAATTAATTAATGTTTAATAATAATCAATAAATTGAATACAAAAAAACACCACCATTATTTAATATATTGGGGTATTCTTTATTTAACTTTAAGTTATTTTAAGTATTTTTTTTTATTTTATTACAGTCAAAAGTTGAAGCCTTTCAGAACAGAAGCCACATTTCTAGCCAATGCAAAATAATTTGTTGTCAGTATGTCATTTATTCCCCAAAAACACAACAAGCCCCTTCTGTGTCGTACAAAAACAAAATCGAGCTCGCCCTCTTTGGATGCATTTTTGAAATAAACTCTCCCCACACTACCCGAACGTACATTTGTGTTTACCACGATGTCCACATCTGCTGATAAATGTTAAAAAATGAGACTGTTTTAGTAAGACCGACCCTCCTTCTCACACGTGGACGAGCGCGACCGGAACCCAGATGCAAACTCACCAGCGCGCGCCCTTTCTCCTGCTGCGCGCGCGCTCACCCGCCCGTCCGCACTCACGCGAGCGGAGAAATCAAAACACTCAAACCATCCACACTGAGAAACAACCGAGAAATCCTCGCTACTCAACGGACGAATGATCAGCACGGAGCCATCGCGGCGTTTGTCTCTCTATGGACGCGAACGAAGCGGGACGAACAACGGTTTCGCGTTAAATACGCCGGAGTTTGCGCGTTTCGCCGAGCGTTGTGATATTTCACTAAAGAAGTTTTAAAAACAAGTTTGGACCGGATTCTTTTAGGAGTTGGACGCTGTTAAGATCGCATCCCGCCTGCTGCTCGAGCGCCTGTGAGGAGCTATCTACTCAAGACTACAAAACATGGATTTATTGCCTCATTTAACCATAAAACTTTGATAAACTGCGCGAGATTGCGTGTAGCAGCTGTTTTGCAGCCTTTCCCAGCATTTCTTGTTAAGGAAAATATCTATTGTTGTCCAGAGAGAAACATTTTTTGCTGTGACAGGACGCATTAACAGAGCCAAACATGTCAGTTCATGATGAAGAAGAGGAAACTCATCTGATTCTCTGAGGAGAAAACGCGTCTAAATCACATTTTAGCGTCGTTATTGTCTTTATCTTCTGTAATAATGTGTCTTAATAATTGGATTATTTCGTAATTGCTCTATATTGGACAAACTGAACGGTTAGTTCTCAAACTAGGTGGGTTTAATACTTTAACAAGTTTATTAAGCGTGTTTATAATTGGGAAAGTCATTCCCGCATAACCAACCTTAGGCAGTTTAGTGCCCTTTGGACCGCGGAGAGGAAGTGGCATCATTTCTTGTCAGTTTTATCTTGGCACTTCTCTCGTTTGCGTGCGCTGGACTGCTCGTTTTCTTTATTCTTGCCTCCTGTTTTGCTTCGTTCTTGTCAGTATGGAGGAGTGGAGGCAGTGCGGGCGCTGGCTGATAGACTGTAAGGTTTTGCCCCCGAACCACCGGGTCGTTTGGCCCTCAGCGGTGGTTTTTGACCTGGCCCAGGCGCTCAGAGATGGGGTGCTCCTGTGCCAGATGCTGCACAATCTGTCTCCCGGTTCCGTGGACCTAAAGCAGATCAACTTCCGCCCTCAGATGTCACAGGTAAGCCAATATTAATGTCTGTATTTGAATGCCTGTGTTTTAATGACGGTCACATTTGCAGGAATGATTGAGGACAGTATTGACAGCTGGAAATGTGCCCATAGGGTGACACTCTAATTCTTATCAACAGGGGTCGTTGTCGAGCATTATTGGCGTCGCTGAGCAATCACTCATATATCTGTCACAATCGATTAATCTAAATTCTGTAATCTGATTATGAGCTAAACTTTCTGATGTGTTTTTATTATGTGCTTATTTTATTTAAGATATTGTTAAAAATTGCTCGTTCCTGAATTATTATGTGTCTTGTAACTATTTGGATGCAACACACACAGGTGTCCTAAACTTTTCTTAGCATGTAGATATTTATATTTATTTTCACTGTGGATGAATTAGCCTGATTGTTTGAAAGCAAGAAAGGAAGTGTCTGAGGTGGTGCAGGGTTTAAAAGGTGAATGCTAAAGGAGTGCCAAGGCTCTTATCTGTGTAAACATAAACCAGGAAAAGCTGCAAGTTCTTCATCGGTTTCAGGAATGTGACTTTCAGCCAGTTCTCTTTGTGAAGGAATGTGTGGTAAAAGCACTTCCTACTAGTAAATGTGAAGTGTTGGGGCGGTATGATGAAGCTTATTTTAAGTGTTGTCTGTTTTGAAAGGTTTTAAACACATGTCCTACTGTGTTTCACTCCCTTTCTGCATATGTTGTCAATGCTGATCTGAGTTTTGTCCTGAAAATAAACCCCTTTGTGATGTAATTTACATAACAGTGCTGTGTAGATTGGGATTTGCATTGCTGCTTATTCTAGAAAGCGTGTAACTAGTTGGATTAAAGTGAATCATCATTTTAAACCTTTATTTGACTTTCAAATCTGGAATAAATTAGCATCATGGCCTTGTGGGTTTAAAATCACAGCTTTGTTTTGCATATTTATGGGAATGCGACAAAATTAAAATTTTTATTTTTATGTCTAAATCTTAATTTTCTTAATTTGTGTGCATTACTTACCTGCTGACGGCTGATAAAAAATCTGCCAATCAGAGAGGTGGACCATAACTGTTGGTAATTTTCAGTAATCTTCAGTAACTGTTGGTAATCCTCTGGCTTCCGTTTAAGGTCCCATAAAGTGCTTTAAAATGTGCATTTTTTTCTCAATGTTTGAATAATCTCATCTGAGAAACGAAGAGAGGGTGGGACATTAAGTAGCTTCTCCCCTTTTAAAAAACCACTAATAGCGTTTTGTGCGGTTATTGAGAGATCAGCATGCTGCAATTTATGAAACACATGCAATTTCAAAAAACTTCGGCAAATTGGGAAAAGATCTTCAGTTTGGCAGCACACATGCTGCAAATCATCACAACGCAAACGCATTTTTAAAAAACGCTCGGCATTTTCACACAAAGATCTCAAACTCATAGAAATGAAAAGCAAATGAGAAGCATCTTGAAGGGACGGGGCATGTCAGATACTAAAGATCATTGTTCAAATATTGATCAGAAACTGAAGTATGAGGTGACGTGAAAAAAAAATTTGATAAAACCATTTAAGAGGAAGTGACAAACTGCAAGCTTTGGATGTTTATATCAGTTTTATATTTTCTAATTGTAATTTTTGTCACTGTTTTGGAGCACACTTGCAAATAGATATCCTTTAAACTAAGAGTAAAACTAAATCTACAATTTTTTATTTTAATTTAAATTATTTTAAAATTAATTATTTTATCTTAGCTAATTGTGTAGTCATAACCAGTTTAAAACTATGATTTATATGGTAAAAATAGAAGGTGATCTGTTACAGAACACCTATGCATGTCCTAGATAATGTGGCTGTTGATTTAAATAGTCCAAGCATTAAAATCCCTTTGCAAATGCAAATCTTTGTTTTTACAGTGAATGTAGACCAGATATGTGCTCAGCAAAGAGTTTTATAGCAGTCTTCCAGTGCCCATGGTGTGATTTATCCCTGTACAGATGCTTTCGTATGACTATATAGCTGTTTTCTCCCAGAACTTGTAGGCTTTTGTTTTAGCTGTTATTGCTGAGGCAGTCATAGGGACCTTTGATCCTCCCATAACCGTAACTTCCCCAACATGGAAGGTTTTGTGTGGCATTACGTTGTGACAAATTGGTTGAAAGGGAGATCTGGCAGCACAATGGAAGCTGTGATTTATACCCAGCAAAGGTCGCTGTGTGCTTTGATACACAGTGGTTGTTAATTTACTACCTCCATTAAATCAGGATGAAGTGATTATGTGGGCTGTTTGTTGTGGATGTCCATCGATACTGAAGCTTCTGCTGTTCTGCATGCTTCACGTGTTGCACATTTTAGTGCACTATGCCTTTTTTGTAATCAAGGTTCTTGTGATCGTCACTCATAAACCTGTATTTTACTGGTAAGTCTTAAAGGGCAGCCTCAGGCTTTACTTAATAGACAAGAAGTGTCTCTGAAAAGAATCTTGCTTAGGCATTGTTTAGCAAATAATGTTGCAATTATAAGTCCAAGCCATGTGGCAGTACAGTTGGTGTCAGCAGAGAAACGCTCTTTATTTTCTATCAGATATTTGCTTGCATCACATACTCATAAATGTTTTATTTGTTGAAACTATAAAAAATTTGCTCTGTTCTCAGTGGGATAAGCAATCTTAAGATTAGATGTCAGCTTTATCAGAGGACATTAAAGATTTAAGGAGATTTAAGAAATAAACTGTGTATAGTCTGAATAGGTTCATGATTTATGATATTTTTAATATTGGAAAGGGATATGCGATATTGTCAAAAATTATATCTCTCTATTTTAATTCAGACTAGCAGCAACTTAGCTGCCTGTCGCTCTGGGTGGTGACCTGCTTCAAACACAGGGGTATATAAAGCACGAATACAACTGGCCTATGAGTGAGCTGAGAGAGGATCACGTGAGCTCTACTAGTGTGCCTATTGGCTGTCGCTCAAGAAAGCTGCTCTTCATTGGCATAAAGTTAAAGGATTCTCAACTTTGTCGCATCACTCGACATGCCCACCTGGTCTCCAATATCCGCTGTCACTTACGTAGACAGAGATCACCCAAAATCTCTCATTCTTCCTTTAAAATGAGGCTTCATTCGTTCAAAGTGATTGGCTTAAAATGACCGATTATTTTATGGTGTTTTCAGCATCTGCCAACTCACCTAATGAGTATTAAATCATTTTATCTCAGAATAACTATCATCATATCTTGTACACATAAAATCTTAAACATCTTCATAAGCTGTCAAAATAAATGGTTTTACTTGAACAAACTTCACTATTAGGTGTGGAATGTACTTTTCAAAGCACTGAAGTCAGTTGTTAAAAATGTGTTTTGTTGTGTTTTAATTTTCAACAGGAATAAAATAAAATTTGATAAATAAAAAAAAATAATAAAACTAAAAATTCAGTTGCATGATTTGTAAAATTATGTAAATGTAGTTATTAATGTTAAACTGTAGACATTTCATTATTTCAGTTAAGAGGACAGGCGTTTTGATTACTAAAATTCAGTTCAACAATATGGACTCTCGACACTTGAACATACATTGAGAGATATGATATATGAGAATAAAAATTCTCAACCAAACAAACTTGCATTTAAAATACGTGTTATAGTTTGTATTGTAAGGTAATGTGTATTTATATAGCGCATTTATTGTGTATGGCCATACACCCAAAGCGCTTCACAATCATGAGGGGGGTCTCTCCACACTACCGCCAGTGTGCAGAATCCACTTGGATGATGCGCCAGTGTGCTCACCACACACCAGTTTGAATACATTTTGTCACATGAAAATGATCATAAATTACAGTATGTCACTATAATTCTATCAAGATTCATCAAGTGGCTACTGCTTTTAGACTCCAGATGTGTTTGTATACTTGATAAAATCACCTTGCACGTTGTTAAAACTGTTATGATGCTGTTAGACAATAAACACAGCATACCCCTATTCCCCAAGTGAACTTAACTGTAGACTTACTGTATAGAAAGAGCTCTGTAAAAATGATTATTCTGAAAATTGTTTTCTGTTTTCTTGTTTTGAAGGACATGAAATAAATAATTATAATGTTTTGGATAAACTATCGCTTCATACTGTAGGTGTTTGTTATGTGCTGATATGTTTTTCAATATTTAGTCAGAATTATTTGGTATTAATGCTGTTTAGTTAAATAGTTCTGCCTTTCAGATGAACACAATACATTGATGTGGATCTAAAGTCCCAGGAGAAAGGGGCAGGTCATTTCCTCTGGCTCTGTCTGACAGATGTAGCTCAGCGGGTTTGGATTTTTGAAGTCTGCATTGTTCTTCAATTTTTTTTTTCACAATTTTATTTACCTTTGGTGGTTGGTAGGATCTAATACCTTAGAGATGAATCAAGTGCCAGTATTGAGAATGTTTGTTTTTGCATGCAGTACCTGTGTGTCTAGTTTCCATCCCCTCAGGCTTGGCCGCGGGTCCATCTTGGGACTGAAAAGTGAGGTCTCCCCCGTCTCTCTTCAAGGCTTTAGGGAGTTTGCGATGTCTGTTGTTTCCTCTTAGAAAATACAGCCTGTCTTTCAGCACGTACACCAGGAAGACAAAAAAAAGAGACGAGTCATTGCTCACTATAGCGCTTTTATGCATTTTATTGTACTCCCCATTTGCCTCTAACAGCCAATTCATTTTAGCTCTGTTTTTAGATGCGTTCATTCTCATAACTCTTGTATTTCTGCAGCCAGGATAATGAGTTTCATCTTTGAGATTTTGTTCTGATTTATTACTCCTAACCCCCCTCCCCACTTTCTCTCTCCCTTTTGCTCGCTGCTTCAGCCACAATCTCATACAAGTTACTTTTGTTTTCAGACATTGACCACATTTCCTGGCCTCTGGCATCTGTCGGCAGTCTCTTTGTGCTGGATCCTGTTTTTTTTTAAGTGAAGATTTAAGTTATGTTATTTAAACCGCTAAAAGAGCCAAATGAAGATCAAGGCCCAATCTAAATTTAGTTTTTGTACC